AAGGGGGATATTTTATTTAGCACTTAGTACCATTATATATCATTTTATTGTTTTAAAAGGTACGTGAAATTCATTAAAAAAACTCTGTGACTGATATCTCTGGTAACTGTACCGACATTTACACGCAAGTGATTTTTTTGTCAACCAATGGGTCGGCTAAAAACTGTGACTGTGAGGTAGCAAAAGACAGGTTTGCATTTGCAAAGGTTTAAAAGTCGAGAGGAACCGTGCTGATTTATTTGACGAGCATTACCATGGACACAATGGAGTTGAATTTGTGCATACAGAAGTGCAAAACGTCTCCTGTCATACGCAGCAAGGTATGAGACGGAGAGAACCCCCTGCTTTGTGTTGGTCATTGTCTCGCAGGAATCTGGGGAATTCCTTTCAGACATCTTGGGGGATGTGTTAAGTAACAATAGTCTGGAATGTGTATAGGGATTGGACATGTTGGGGGGGTGCCCCTCGGTCTCATTTCTTGCTGGGTATATCTCCTGTCCCACACCTCTGTCAGGTTGACTACACAAGGAAAGGCTTGGACTGGTCCGCCGCTTTTTTCTTTCTTTCATTTGGCGAGCAGACTACGTAAGTACCGCGCTAGTAAAACTCAGGTTAACTCAGTTTCTTCGGTACGCGGCGCGCGTGGATTTGGTTCCACGGTAGTGTCAAAAAACAGCTCAATTGCTCAGGTACCTGCAATGTATGAGCAGGGACGGATCTAGCTTTCCGGAAACTGGTATTTAGTGGGTGTACTGAAGGGATGTCCTGCTAAGGGCGGGAATCGATGTAATAGATGGATAGATGGACGGCGCAATCCTCGTCCAGGATTTTTTTGGGGGGTACCTCTACTCATTTTCCCTCATTTCACTGGAAGTTCCATTTAGTCTGCGGCTGAACGGCGGGGTTGCAAACCCCCGCTAGATCCGCCTCTGCTGAGGCACAGCAACACAAGGAAATATCTAAGGAAACCACCCGAAATATCAAGCAGATAAGTTGAGCATATTGCGCACCACAACAGTGAAACTCGGCAAAGTTCTTATTTTTGAACAAGTGTATATAGAGTCAATCAAGTCCAGAGAGATCCCGTCGAAAAACCATTCCACTCGACGCTCATAAAACTTTTGAAAGGCTGGGAATCAGTAAAAATCGCCGGTAGCATATCCTGTCCACGCGGTAGCCATTTTGAAAAAGGCTTATGTAAATTTAAAATTCTTGACAGACCTAAGGATCTCCCCTTTTACAAGATCTCCCTTTTTACAAAATGGGAGATGTTGCCAAACCCCCCCTTTTTTACACAGAAACGTGTAAAAAGGGGATTCGCATAAAATATATCCCCCTTTTTACACAATCAAGCAACCAATCAATCAAATACCACCCAACCCCAAAACAAAAAATAAACAAACTCCCCAACAACCCAACACTAAAACACCCCAGCAAATTAACAAACAAAAACCCAATTAGGTAATCCCATACGGCTCCGAGATGGGATGAGAATTTTCTAAAACAAACTTTGTTGATGTATACCTGCTCTTGTGTATTTGCACATACCATGTTATTTTGTTATTCACCCGTAAAGACAAACGGCCGTTTCTTTGCATTTTATTCCTGAATGATGCCTTGAAATATGATTTCTAAAATGAGTTGCTTTGGCACTCATTATTCAGCAATCCAATTCATGATGTGCCCTCTAATTCCCGTCTTTCCATCTGCAATTCTAGGCTGCCAACCTATAAATTTCGGGAATAAAATAAATTAAATACTGTAAATGCTCATTTGAATTATTAGCATCTACTTATAATATCGTGTCAGGCCTTATTGTTAAAGCCATTGGAATATCTGTACCTAGTGTTTAGGGAATACATGTGCTTGCGCATACAAACCCATCAGTTGTTAACAACCGATATAGGCCTACACCATCGCTCTCTGCTTTGAAAATAAGAACATTTGTTAAATGCGGAGCCAATTAAACTACAAGCTGCATATCACTTTCACAGACCGCCAGCAACTGCTGTGAACAAAATTTAAGTTACACGTGTTACTTTTTATACAACCATGACCTGACAGTGCATGTACGCATTGCCACAAGGTTAAAAAACAAATTTGGAAGGTCAACGTGAAGTCACCTTGGCATAATCGAAACGCCGTCGGGCCTGCCTGATGAAAAGCCCTAAAGTTCAATATCGGACAAGCTAACATAAGTGTAAGTTCCTCCGCTCGCTTACAGCTAAATCAACACTGACAGGTGCTAGTAGGAGCTCATTGGAAAAAAATTCAGGGACACAGCTCCAGTTAGCAATGGCTACAGTTTCAATTTTGCGCCGACATGGTGTCCCGCATGTATGCCACTTGGTGTATCGCTTATTTTTAGGACTCCGCGGAGACTTTAGGAACACTACAGTCGGCTGCGACTGAAATCTAATGCGTGTAGTTAAAATGTAAGGCGACATCAACATCACGAAGCCATTGCAATTATCATTGCACGTTTCGTTTTAATGGAAATAATTATATTTGTTATGCACCTCTGTCCAGGTGATCAGGGTTGTCAAAAAAGATATTAGACCTAAAATGTGTCTACGAGCTAGGCTTTTTGCCATTCAGTCATCAGTCCTGAAATTTGTGATTATAGTTAAATTTCATTTACTTCTGAACCAAGCAAACTACTGATCATTTCCAATCAACCCGATTTTGGCTTCTGACCAAAATTGAGAAGGAAGGTACATCCTTAGGAAAAAACTTCAAAGTATGAGGAATACACGATGACTACAGACGCGTATAGAACAGAAAGGGAGATCACAAGTAGAAAATACGATTGAGGTATGCCCCACGTATGGCTTATATCTATTTATACATCTCAAATTACAGATCGGGATACTAATTGACTGTTTAATAAAAAGGCAGAATTGAAACTCACCCTGGACCTTCATCACGGATGCTGAAAGACTCTCCCTTAGATGCACTTAGGCCCCTACGGATTTGTAATTTCTTTATTTTCTATTCTATACAATAAACGCACATTATCTCCATTTGTGCTGAAAAGCTCATCCTTTGACGTCATTTTATAGAAATATCTACCTGTGAACGAAACTCTTCCTTCCGTGAAATAATTTTCACATACTTATTCACACAGAAAAATACGAATATGATGGTTAACGTTGAATAAAAACAATGCACGAATCTCACAAAATGCTTGCTAAATTCAATAAATTGAAAGCCGACACAAATGCCGCTTGAGTGTCCGCACGAATGTGAATGCTCATGTTCTTTCTAATTCCGACCATTCACTCTTTGAATAACAAGATTATGCAATCGCATAGTATTAAACTGAATGATCATTTTGCTATTTGAACGGCAATATAGATCATCAAACAATGTCGTGCTGAATTGAATGTTACTGTCACTGATTTGCATGAAAGACGACGAATTCGACCGGTAAAACCTATGTGTCCTAGCTTTAAACTGACCATCCCAGCTTCTTAGTTTATCGTGAAGGTATCATTGTATGATATCGTAAGGTTTTCTTCAGAAATTCAAGCGATCTGGTGAAAAAACAGTATAACATTTCATTCACAGAGAAAAACATATAAAATAGTGCATAAATTGGTTGAAAAGCACGTTTAGAACGTTTAGAAGACATTACTCGAATTCTTGTCCAATCTCCTTCAAAGCCTGAACATCAGAAAGATAATTTAAACACTGCAAAAACTGTAGTATTAATTCAACATACTGGGTAGACTACCTCAGAGTGAGTGTAGTCCTCTGATAACACTGAGGTTGTGGAATGAACACCAATTTAACACCAACGTTGTTATTTGTTTCAGTTAAAGGTTGATATGGCCACATTATAGACATTTACCAACATAAAGCTGGCTGTGCTGTGATATCTATGTCACCATTATTCAAAATATGTGACACAAACTCGGCGCTTGGGCACTTTATCTTTTTTACTTTAACCGAAGTTGACAAAATCTGACTGAGGACATTATTTTGAGATGAAGGAGCACAAAGGCAAGAAACTGGACGACTCAGATTCTCGTTCAGTTATAACAATTGTTCACGTGTTACAGTTCCCAGCATGACCACCTGATCTTCTCTCGTTCACTAAGCCCTACCCATGTTCACTTCCCCTCTTCAACACTGTTGACATCAGTGATGCATGTTGTCCATGGCCCGTCTCATCACGACACTGCATCGAGTCGCAATATGCTCATGCATCACGCACTGGCGCTTGTTCATATGTACTAGATGTTGCGAGTGGAGTGCTGAATATTTTCCCTCCAAAAGACGCCAAGGAAATTAATGGTGCATGACATCCCATATCATTTATCGTTTACTTGATGGTGATACTTTTGGGGATGATGAGGGTATAACTTTCCCCTTATTAATTTTAGTGAAGTCAGATTACTCCTTTAAACAACCTCAACATACACAGCACACCTTATGTTCAAAAGATAAAACGTGCTTTTCCCCATTTAAAAGTGCATGAAGAAATCTCTTGTTAACTAGACAAGTTTTCATCTTGATATCAAGACTGATTATGCACTGTATGTCCAGTGCTTTACGAAAAATGCTTGCTCCGATGGTTTTGAACCCAAGAAAAGCACAGGTAAAAAAGATATATGCCAACTGTAAATAAGTACTACGGCAATCAAGACAACGTCCATAAAATACTCATTTTTCAACCACCGGGATCATAGTGTGCCGGTAATCGTCACTAGAGCAATGGACAAAAACGGAAGGTCATAGAAAAGTGATTTCTGTCACTCCTGTAAGACCGGAGTGGCCTAATTCTTTGTTATATTCCACCCTTCCTCCATGATTCTATAAACATTTGTTATTTCCGGATGACGCGTCGACAGTAGGCTACGTTTAACAAGTTCTAAACACGGGTTTTGATCCGTTTGTCGTTAAAATTGTAATCTCAACACTAGTAAATATGAACCGAAAACAGTAATCCAAAAGCATGCCTAACTACGGAGGAATAAAAACACGCAAACACTCACCAGGTACCGGTAGGTCAGCCAATTTACTACTGCGAAGCAAATTAAAACAGCCTTCTTGCGTAGAAACATATCCAACTGTATGACGGTTGTATTATTACACGGACATGTGGAAAAGTTCAGCTAAAATGAACTCGTCGTGTTCACAGCACCGGTTTACTTTTCTCACCAATCTCTAAGCTCAGCCTGAGCTGTGTCAAAATACGAATGTACGTTCAAAATGGAAGTTACCGGAGTGATGACAGAGATCAACACTCACTTAAAACATAATGATGTCCCAGGGATACAGTTTCATATGACTTGGACAGTCAGGACGATTGCTGTGACGGTTGCCGATGTAAACGCCTGCTGCACTCCCGGGGCGCATTTACAGGCGCTTCCGTGCATAAACGAGACCGGTCGACACTGCTGTTTCAGAGGGGAAGAGTTTAGAGTCGTAAAAAACCAAAGGCAGCAGTCGTAAAACATCGACCTGCGCTTGTACTGAACGCGTGAACGACTGTTGGCTGACTTCGCTAAAAGCCCACCACGTTGACCGATCTGCGAGTCAAGGCTTTATACAGTTTGGGCCAACAGATGGCGCTGTGCATTTCTACGGCAGAGCTGCAGTCGTATCGCCTCGCGCACTGTGCATGTTCTCTCAAATTCACCACAAATGTATTCGTCATATTTATTAAGTGATATTGCTGAAGATGCTAATATATTGGTTCTTATTCATTCCACAGCATTCAAATTCTATCCAAATTTGAAATTGGATCATTTATTCAAATATTACCTCCTAAGTTGCGTGTTCCGGACACGTGATTAATGGCCAAGGTGCTTTTCATGAAAATTTACAAAAGGATGTTAAGGCAAAATCCCGGTGCACCAACAATATACATGTATATAGGCTAAAGTTTCTGGCACCAAACTTTGGATTCAAACAATCTCATAATAATACAATGAAAAACACACTGTACATGGGTACATACATGCTATGAATACAACCAGGGTAAAAATCTAACTTCACTGCCCCCAGTGAGATTAAAAATTACAATTCAACTCATTATTATGGGTGCCGATTCAACGTTGTTTACATCTAAAACCAAGATTAATCAGCAAATTATAATGGAAACTCACTGACAATTATGGAAATGCACCTTCAGTAAAACTGCAAAGAATTCCCCTGCAAATGCGAAAATAAACAATTGGCTTAGGCTGAAGGATCTGTCTGGGTCGGCTGCCGTCTGGCGCTCAAACATGGCAAATTCTGGAGGGGGGGGCATTGACAAAATGAAGCTGCGGTCAGCACACTCCCCCTGTGATGTGAGACACATCGCAAACTGCGTTAACAAGAATCCACGACAAAAATGCAAGTATAACTATAAAAATTTGAAAATAAATGTATACATATGTAGTGACCATCTTCATTCGGCCGCACTTTAGATTTCATCAAACTTAAAAACTGTATCTCTTCTCTTGAGGGGCTGATTGAGTCTTCACCCAAATCGAAAAGGTCAGAAAACTGGGCGCTGGCTGAAGTTACCCTTGCAGTGGTCACAGACTTGAATGAGATTTTGGCATGGATCAAAAACGGTGCTTGGGCGTCCAGTGTTGTGAAGAATGTCGGTCTTGTAAACTGATATGTACCAGCTTTCTTGTGGAGGCCAACTAAACAAACGTCAGTCGCCAACAATTACCAATCCAAGGTCCAATCGCTGTGCAAATGGAGCATCATCAGGCTAATTGATCTGCTCTCTAAACCTTTATATGTGCTTGCAGCGCATCTCTCCCAATGAGAAGAAGAATCAATGCGTTGACTGGCTCTATCTCGTTGGCAATTCGTTGGAGTTGCGGGTGGTGTTGAGCAACTTCTGGTGATGATATCTCATCGAGCTTGTCTGGAATCATCTGACGAAGGGTAACTTGATACGTGTTGCGCCATCTATGGACTTGATCCAAAGCTTCATTGTCTCGTTCTGTGACCTCATTTGAGCCAGCGCACATTTCCATGGCGTAAGTCAAGGGTGGAGAGGATATTCGAAAAAAGATCAAAGAGTTGGCCCTTTGCTAGGGTCGAGTTGCTTTGTTCGTCAATTACTGCATAAGTTGGAAGTGTTCTTGCCTATCTTCTCTGTACACTTCCACCTTGCATATCTTCGCACAGGATTTTCCGCCAGGGAAGAAGCCACATACATTTGTGCAAGTACACAGACGTGTAGAGCAGTGACATCAATCTTCACACTTGATTTGCTTTTCGCAGTTTTTGTAGGCATGCAACAGTTATAAAACACCCTTCAACTCTTTCAACAGCTTTTTCTTTCGGAATTCTTTCGGAAGAGCCGGCATTAATGCAGTGAATGTTTTGAGTTATGCAGAACACCATCTGCAAATTCGCCTCCTGTAAGTTTGGGAGCATTGATGACCTCCATCTTGTGAACAGTGACTGGCTTGGTTAACTTCACCATCTTGCTCATGGAATCGGACTCTGATGCTGTACAAGGTAGACCAACACAACAACTCTGGTCGTTTTGCATTTTTGTTTCTGTGTGGGTAAAACCGTGAAACACTTCGAAGGGTGGAAGTAACCTTGCACTGGAACTCGTGTATTTTTATTCATGCCTCATGTCTCCACTTATCTTGGAGCCCAGGTAGTAACTTTTAAACTATGCATTTGGCTAATGCTATGGGCTGAATCCAGATTTCTTGAGGCACAAGACCTCGAGGAGCAAGTGGTCAAGCTGGAGAAGTTTGTCGGAGTTCATTGCTGCGATCTTTTCAAATTCCTGAAGACGTAGCATGACATTTGATTCAGTGGCCTCCGGAGAGCCGTACGTTTCATCCAGCAACCCCCAGATTTGTTTCAATGCTTCCACACATTGGTCAATGTACACTGAGTGTAGTGGCTCCAACATTTTTCTAGAGTCATTGCCCAACCATTTTATGACCAGATTCAGTTCCTGTGAAGGTGGTATGTTCAGCTCCTTGACTGTGCTCACAATTGATGCCTTCCAGGTTCTGTACATGGATGTGGAATCATTGAAGCTTTGAAGGCTCAAGGCCAACAACTCCTTCCTGAAGATGACATTTCGCATCTCAGTCATGGCATTAACTGGTTGCAGCTGAAGGTGGAGGGTAGTGCTGATGTGATGAGTAAGAGCGGAAAGTTGTGGGCTTGAGTCGGTTGACTGACTGACAGCAGGGAGTGGTGGACTGGAACCAGCAGGTTTACTGACAGTTGGGAGTTGTGGGCTGGAACCGGTTGGTTGACTGACAGCCGGGTGGTTGTGGACTGGCACTGGCAAGTAGACTGACAGCACACGATTGCAGGCTGGGACCAGCTTGTTGACTGACAGCAGCCAGTTGTGGGCTGGAACTTGCTGGTTGACTGATAGCAGACAGTTGTGGAGCCGGGTGAGACATGGCTGAAGGGGTTTCGGTGGTAGGCATTACAGAGGACGGCAAAGTATAATTGATGAATCACTACCAAAGATTACTTGATAACCGTGGGGAAGATGCTTGTATATTTTCTGGGTTTGCATCAAATTGTTCAGTTTCTGGTGATTCATAGACCTGTTCTAGCTTCAGCTTCTGCCTCTGCAAGTGCTGTTTCTTGCTCAAAACGACTCCTCTGTTGCTTCAACTAAGTTCTGCCTGCTCAAGTTGTTCAATCTGAGCCAGTCACTGCAAGCAACCTTCATAGCGGCTTTCTTTGCCGATGCATTTGCCTTAGACTAACAACCTGTCGTCCTCATGATGGACCCCCAGCAACCCCGGAACTATTGGCCGCCAGCGAAGGTCCATGAAGTGTTGCCTGGTACGGATGGAAAGGTCTGCACAGTGCGGGTGAAGATCATTGGAGATGGTATCTACGCCCGGCCAGTGGCTCGCCTCATCAAGCTGCCTTCCGAAACATCTATGGGGGCAAGTTTGGGACCACCATGTCATCTGAGTCTGATTAGGGCGACTTTACCATTGCAACCTTTTCCCCCCATGATCATTCACGAGGCGGCTTCTCCTGTTACCCTGTTGTTTTCTTGTATACCTTTATCATCTGTTGTTTAACTTTCCTTATTGACTCTCACCATTCGTGTCACCTGATTGCAACGGCGTATGCACACTGTAAACTGTTTCGCACAGTTTAGGGGCGGCTATTATGTTGCGACTCTAACGGGTCATAGAGGGGGCTATCCACCCACACCACTAGTTAGAGCTTTTCTAGAGATCAGGCCAGATGAGCTGTCTGCTCTCCCTATGACACGTCTCTCCGCCGGCCAACTACATGTTTAGACCAGCCATCAGGATGTTGCCACCAGCATACATGTGGTTGTATTGCCAGTACTAATAAAGAAAAGGGCAAATCCGTGCTCACTATGAACATGCAAACCGGCAGCCTGACTCCTCTTTGTTAGTCCACGCCCTTTGCCACAGCTACTGTCTTCACTCTGACCATGACGGAGACCCGCGGGTTATGAAACTTCTATTGGTGTACCCAGCTATGCTTGTGGAACATGCGAATGTTCTGATCACTGTTTCTGCTGCGATCGCCATTGCTGTTTATATAAAACGCTCACGTAGTTGTCTCTCTGCTCTTCAATCTTGTCAATGTTGAATTTCAACCAGTCGACAAAACCCCAGTGCTTTATGAATTTCAGGGTTCCCTAATAAGCCAGTTTGTTATAAATCCTAGATTTCTCCCCCCCCCCAAAAAAAAAACCAGGTCAACAAAGGACATCACAAAAAACATTTTCCTTATAATTTGATATCTAGTTTGCTGTTCAAATATTTCAATTTGTCAAGGTGTTTTCAGTTTATCTTGCAATGAAATATGCACATATTACCCATAAGACCATTTCAGTGTAATACATGTATGAAACCATGGTTAACAAAACAATTGTTGCCTGCTTTGACGGGGTCCATGGGTTTTGTACACGGGGGCAAATGGCACCCTCGGCCTAGCCTCGAGTGCTATTTGCCCCTTCAGGTGTACAAAACACCAAGGGCCCCTACATCGCAGGCAATTGTCGCACAGTCTATGTCAAACCCTTCGTACGTAATGCATTGTTCTAACTCCACGAAATGCGTTATTTTTACGCTGAAAAGCAAAATGCACAATTGGAAAATATACTGTTAATTCAAAGGTGGCGCCTTTTTCGTGCACAGGCCAAGACAACATTTTTATTGTGCGACGAGTTTGCTTGAATTATCGTGACTCGCGCACGCGCACTCATGTGATAAATATGGATTAATGCTTACGCGCACTTAAATATGGGGGAAAGGAAACACTGTTAACCAAAGATGTTAAGCTTGTTGCTAAATTTTTTACTTGATTGGGCCTTCTTTGGAGTTTTCAGCCTTGGGAATTGAAGAAGTTCTTCTTGTCACTTGCACCGTACCTGGGAGCGTTTAGGCCCATAGAGTAACGTGCACCAGTGACCTCATTGCCAGTAATATGTGTATGCTGTGATCCTCAATCTAAATACACCAAATTAATTCATGTGTTGGTCAATCACTGAAGCACTGTCATTGAGAATCAACCAATTCCAAACATAATCGTCTTTTGCAAAAATGGGCAACCGTGACGTAGGCCTAAGTTATGTTGTTGAAATTTCGGGGAAGCATTTTTTTTTCCGGAGGGAAGAAACAGAAGAACGTGGACAGAAGACCTGCTGACACGGGAGCTAGCCCCGGGCTTTTATCACCCGTGTCACACACCCCGGTTTAGCACCGTCTGCGCATATCTGCTTCGAAACCGAGGCTCTCTGTGTTGAACTTTGTCGCGCACGCCCGCGGAGTCCACACAGTACATGCAGTATCCGGGTCGTAAGTGTGACACCACTTCAGTTTAAACCACGCCCACTGCACAAGATACACGACCATCACAGCTACTAGTACGCCAGTTCGCGGTATATTGTCGTTATTTTTTCTTTTTATTTTACGTGTCTAGTCATCCTGAAAGACTCTTCCACAAAAAATTGCAGCCTGAAAAGTCTGAATTTAACATACTTTTATGTATTTGTGTCTTGACTCCTTACTTTCAATCATCTGATCGTATTAAGAATTCATGCTGACATATACAGCCTCGTTTTCAAACGCAGAAGTGCGCAGATCGACTCTAAACGCATCGTATTAGGATACCTCTATAGGGGAACGGGTTAGCGTATCGGTTCTATCCTGGCTTTGCACCAATGAGGCCCGGGTTCGAGTCCCGGCTTGGCCCAGGCTTTAAGTGCATTTGGTTTCCAGTCCATACTCGCTCTCACAGGTTTTCTCCGGGTACTCCTGTTTTTTCCTGCCTCTAAAAGTGGACTTTCTTCCTTGCTGAAAGCGCCATTAAAACAAAACAACAACAACACAACTCGGTTCAGTGCGTACAATCAACCACTTTTCGAACCTGCACGAGCGAAAGGACCATTTTACTCAAGGAAACTGAAGAAGATGGAGGAATAGGATGGAAATATTAGAAACTGTAACGTTCTCAATGAGCAAGGGAATGGTTCCGAGTGCGGAGCATTAACAACGGTTCAATAACCAATATGCCATCGTTGTTCTGGTGCTCGTCCGGTTCAAAGGATAATTGGGGACCGGGAACCAGTCTACAGATTGCACCTGCGTCATCTTTGGTTTGCATTCCCATAATCCCGCCAATTTCCGGATTGTGACGCAATGTACGTTCATTTGTAATTGTAACGCGACAGTGCCAGCCCCTGCTAAAGTACTGCTGCTAGTGCTATTCGGCAAAGAAATCCACCGTCACCAGTGAATCGATATTTATTTCTCATCAGAACTATTTTGTTATTAATAGTATAAAGAAAGGGATCGACATGGATGCTGAAATAAGTATCGAAAACTTGAGGATGACGTCGGGTAAGACACTTTTACACAGTCATGACAGTATCGTAACGGTAGGTAGGCCTACCCCCAGACACTAGGTCCGACCATGGAGGTGTGATTCTACCTCCATGGTCCGACATGTCCGACGTCGGGTCATGCTATTTAGCGTCAACAAGTTATTCAAGCATATTTATGCAAAATGTTTTTATATCAAATGTTAATTACAAGGATCCTACATATCAATTTCAATATATATCTATCTGAAATGATATTTGAGTGTTGAAACTGAGTGACAAAGTCGGACCTGTTTGTGCAGTCCGACTGGCCGCCATCTTGTTTTCGCCATGTTCGCATGGACGGCAGAGGAAAGAAAGATTGCAGCCCCCGTCCATCATGAAAAATTTTTGTTTTCCTGCGAGAATCTGGAAGCAAATTTGGTGTTTCTCTCATAGTTATAGAGTGGCAAAATGTGAATAGCCTGTCAACAGTTACGTGTACGTGCAGTACTAATTGGTACAAATAAATACAGCCCACTGCCGTACGTTATACCATGGTTATACACGTACATTACCTCTCTGTTAAATAAGTATTGATCTGTTTTGTTGGTATTGATTTCCCCTACCCCTCCCTGTCACTTCCCCCTTTCTTCCATTCCCCTCCCCTCCCCTTCTCATGTTCCCAACACCCTCTCCCTTTCCTTTGATTCAGTGTTAGTGTAATTTTTTTTTTTTTTGTGTGTCTGCCTTCCCATATAATATGTATATATATTTATTTTATTTGTGTGTGTTTTATGTACATGTATTTCGTTTCTGTATGGGTTTTACAATAACTTAACTGACGCTAAATAGCATGACCGCCGAGGTCTGCCATGCTCCCTGTGATGGACGTTGGACCCCATGCCACAGCTCTTGGGGTAAAAGTTACCATTTGTACATATTGTACATGTTGCATAGGGGTTATGCTAACCATAGATGACCCTAGTCATGCTAGTCTGCGTAACTTGGACCCCACAAATTGCCTTTTAACATTTGGACGTAAGCCTTATAGCTGATACCGCATGAGTGATTTTGCACAATGGTAGAAAGCTACTTCTGAACAGTAAGGTACTAATCTGTAGACCTTACTGCACTCCACCTTTTTGATATTTCCGCACGCTTTGGCATTTTGAAAACCAGCTAATAGAGCCAATGATTTTCCACGATCGTGGAAAACAGACGGAATACATGGAAACAACACTTTCAAACGGAATCTACTGCTTGAAAGAGAACTTGCAAAATTTCCCTCTGAGAGTGGCTTAAACAGTAAAGAAAACTTTCTGCAAAGTACTATAAAATAAATCTTACCAAACCCTTTTCAAATGCTTGCTTTTAATGAACGAATTACGCTGGATTGCTAAATTACACCACTCCACCACATGACTGTGCCGGTGCCGATACTTCGAAGCACTAAGTCGTGCGGCGGCAGCTGGCACAGTAGTGGTGCGGAACAATACATGCACCCTATTAGCAATGAAATCAAGGTGCAAACAAGTTCTTACTCACACATACATGTATGACTATTGCACATGTGGGCAATTTAGTCTGTGAATCCGAATGGACGCCTTGAGACAAGGCTAGTACCCCATTGCGAAACAATGAAACCGCAGCAGTGAAACGGAAGACTAATTTCATATTTCTTGAAATAAACGAAACCTTGTAAGCTTGGTGTACCGTAGCTGAATGGACCCTTGGAAGTTTTCAGTCACAAACAAAGGCTCAGATTTTAATTTTAAGGCTCAGATTTAATGTTAACTTTCTGAATTTTGTCGTACTCCTGCCAAAGAAAATGGTGGGTCGATGTCCAACATTAACATATATGTATTGTGATCAACGACTGTTACATGCAAGACCTACTCTGTGACTTCACTGTACATGTACATGTATGTAATCTGATTTCATACATGAGGAGTGGCACATGAATTGTCCATTGATTAATCGTAGCAAGTTTTTGCTGATCGCACACCGGTGGGAAATCAAGGGGTGAGGTGTGCAGTATTTATTGTCTGGAGTTTTTTGTTATTTTCACAACAGAAATTATAAAAAAAGTTGGAAACATTGCAGAATATTTCACAACAATATTGTTGCTATTTTTGTTTATTTAGGGGAGAGGGAGTTGAGAGTGGTTGAGCAAATGGTTTCCATGCATAGTTTCAAACTTACTCTCCTATTTCATGCTAACGAAGGTATGAAAGGAAATTTGAAATGGAAAATCATTGGCTCTACCAGTTGGAGTACAAGATGAAACATCTGTTAGTGCTTTCTGAAGCAAATCTTCCTCTAAAGACCCTATAATAATAGCTAGCCTATATGGAACTACAGGGCATGGTAGTATTTTGTAGCGTTTAACCTGTATTATTGGCAAAAAATGAAGTATTTTCTACCATCCCCATACTGCATCTCTCAACAATCTGCACACATCTGCATTCTCTCTTATGGCTGTGTGTCATGTGACAAAGACAGGCACAGCGTATTCGTATAACAAACGTTCATGTTGTTGTTTTGTGTTGCAACAATTTTGAACTTGGAACATAATAACATATAATTTATCATTTTCACTTAGGCCTATAAGTTGCTGCATCAGCAAAAAGACAAGTTAAAAGGGATCAGTGTTTTCCATGACAGGTTTTAGACCACCTTGCTAAAGTTTTGCCTCCCTGTCAAAATTCTCACTGCTATTTTTCTGTTATATTTTCCCTTTTCTCCACAGTCTTCACAATTTTTATAAATGGAAAGAACCACACTCTGTGGAATGAACATGATGAGTTTGCCATTATTATTCAGCACAATAGCACTTTGCAGCGTTAGTGATCAAAGCCAGACGCAGTATAATACAAGAACACAAAATTCTGGACTGGTTCCAATCTCCCTGTCATAGCATTTTCATTTTGTAAGGTGAAGAGCCAATACCTCAAATGCATGTTTTTTTCTTCAGAAAATACAGCCAATTTCCTACCTGCAGTTCTGGATTTTTCCTAGATACGGATTGCTTAAAATGAAATTTCTTTCTTCTGCTTCTAAAACTACTTCTTTTGTGTTCTACATTCTCAAACAAGCTCAGTTGGGTGAAATGTAAGGTTCTTGTACAAAATTTTGTTTTCAGAAAAGTCCAGATAAGCAACCTTCTGCCAGCTACATGTAGATTTCAGTTTCGAACTTTGGCATTTTTCAACGGTTTGTCAAAAATCACAAGAGCCAAAAAATTAACCAAAAATACAGGTTGAATGGTCATTCTGTACATGTGCTTCCAAATACTTGTTCCCTACATAACTGTCTTATTTACTTTGCCATCTAATGTGTGTTTAATCAAAGTAGATTCTAGAGTTTCCTTTTGAACGTCTTGACTACTGACTATACATGTATTTCACCGGAATAATAGGATTTTGTCACTGGAATCTGACCATGGAGTTACATGTATTATTGAGATCTAGAATTAGGGAAGCGACTGTACATTGCATCATCCACTCGCACAGTGCCCACGTACGTATATGTAACCCCAGAACCATCTACTTGATGGTGAGTTCCAATCAGTAAACCAAACAAAATGCCCCAGAAAGAAATCGACTTTTGACGATCTCCCGATAACAATTTTGCCTTCATTTCAAATTGTTACCATGAGCAAATATGATTCAAGGAGTCAGAAGAAAGTACGGCAGAAAATACCTGAGATTGTACAGCAGAGCATTAAGAATCCAAAATGTCTGAATGTGGCAAACTACACCAAAGGACTACTCTTAGTTCCACCCTTTTTAAAATTTTCTTGGAGATTGAAAGGGGTACTACAGCTCGAAAAGAGAACTGTGTTTCTTGTGTGGTCTGTCCCTTTCCTGAAATCATGATTTAAATTGTTTAGATAAAAATGACTTTTAAAAAATCACATCAAAGAAACCTTAAATTCTTTGGGGCATTTGAAAGGAAGAAATGGCTGAATTAAATATACTGATGTCTTTGGAGCACTTCCACACTACCAGAATTGGGTCATTTTGTGTATAATGTTTCTCTTTACACTTATTTGACATTTACATGTATATGTGTACCTGATGTACATGTACGTGTACTTGTATCTGTACACCACTCTCTATTTTGTATGACTGGATTTACGTTTACATGTATTTTATGGAATTCAATAACCCTTCCATCTACATACATTTAGATAAAGCAGAATTGCCAAATACCAGTTTCATGGAAAGTGGTATTGTCAAATACATGTATCACGAACATTGGAATACCAATGATGTGAACTTGTGTAAGACATGTGTTAGCAAGTACAGAAGTTTTATACCAACTGAAGAAGCAAGACACTGATCTTTACTCATCTTGTTTTATCATTGAAATTTGCATAAACTGTTTATTCATACCAAGAGTTTGTGTGTATTTCAGCATACAGGAAACTGGACATAGCAAACTTGGGTGTTTGATTAGAAATACAGTTCAACATCTGAACATATGATAAACTTAACCCCAGCAGTCAGCACTTGGTCCTTTAGTCATCACCTGGTATTCACGTATCATGTCTTGAACTTCAGGACAAAAAGCCTTCTGGACAGCTTTAGAGATCAATTTTAAAAAATTGATTTAAATTTTAAAAAATCTGAATAAAGAAAATCTTTTAAAAAATGATTTTTATGGACCCTGGTGCGGTATCGCTACTTACCTCACGTGCGCTAGCACTCTGCATTCATCGCTCTCCCCTGTGCATCGCAATCATCATGCCTGCAATGTACATGTAATCCTCTTTTCATGTCTCATTTGTCAAGATGAGTTACTGTTTCAATTTAATAAAAATCAGATCTCTACAATATTGTGTATAATTATACTTCTTTAATCATTAAAAATCTATGAACAAATTAAACACTTCAAAGAGGATCGTTGATGAACTTATTTCCATACAAGCACCCTGCTTATAAAGCCAGCTACACTGACCGAGGTCATTCTTATAAAACAACAGGTTTTGCAATGATACAGCCATCGTGATTTGCCATCATGACTGACGTGGTGTGCACGACTTCATTTTTTTGTATGTTTGTAAGAATCAATGACTTCAGATTTGTTTTACAGACAATGCTAGGTTTTGTCACTTTGAGATTCTGTTTTGAGAGCTTGTATGTCCAAAACTACACATCTTCAATCAGGGTTCTCTGTTCTTGGTCACCCCCAAAAAAATCTCTTGACATTTAGATAAAGAATTATCCCCACATGTTTTGACGGACGGGTTTCCTACAGGAAACTAATTAGCGATAGTCATGACCACCAATGACTACATGTAGTCAACTAGTCACACTAGTTGTATGGGCCTAGTTAGGATGTGCACTTTTTACATGTACATGATTGATCTCATGCTGTCTTCCTTTGTACTTGCCTGGCATATTGCTGGATAAAAGAAGTAACCTTGTGTTGATATACCGGTACAGTTGTACAGAACAGACACATTTACGAATGTATACACGTACATCAGTGAATTTCCTTAGTTTAACTAAAACTGATGTTTTTACTTCCAGCTTGTGATGATTTTCAGGACAGCAATGAAGATGGGACAATGAACCTAGTGCATGTGAGGTAAGTTACCTACAATATGTAAAAAATGTGATGAGGTTTACCTGTATGTAAACATTATTTTGGGAGGGCAGTTGACCAATTTCAGTATTCAGTATTATATTTACATACCAGTAGGATTTGAACACTGCTCTTCTTATCCAGCAAATTGATACATATGTACATTTATGCCTTAACAACAGAGCAATTTGATTTGAAAGCACTTACATGTACCATTTGCACAGCTGAAGTTGTAGTTTAGATATGTGAAGCTACTGATTTCCAAAGGTACCATATATAGCAACACAATAAATGGAAGTTCTCTTGAAAAAAGAGTCAGTCCATTCTTTATAGCAAACACTGTAGAATGATGTTCGTTAAAGGAAATATTTGAAATAACATATTTAGGACAAACTTTATCAACTGAAAGTGCACTGAAATAGGTTTACATGTATGTATTCAAGGGTATTTTGGGTACCAGGTACCCATTTCTGTAAAGATCAGTATATGTACCCAGACAACCTAAACATTAAGGGGGAGGGGACACCCCTTCAGTAACCCAGTATAGTCACAGGATTTTTCCCCAAACCGAACATTACTGATCGATGTATGCACAGTTATGTAAATGTACATATATGTCATTGGGTCCCAGCCCTCAAAATATCTAGTCCGAACATGGAGAAAGGAATAGAGCGATTAAAACATGCAGCATGGTTGCAATGCTCTGAAGTTTTGACACACGGATTGGATTTTGTGAAGCGCAGTGGTCCATCAGTGTGAACACCTGTGCCTGCATACATGTGTATGGGCATGGACTGGTAAATGGTGAATTCGCCCTGTGACAGCCCAACAAAAATCACCTCTCCTTTGTGCCGCTGAAAATATGTGCACTACATGTAAAACCTTCAAAATACTGGTAAGTGGAAAATACCTTTGCATAAAGGGGAATCTACTTGTTGTTTCTGTGAAGTGGCTCTTTCACGGAAGTGCATGTACCTGGTATTTCAGACATTTTGATCATTTCACATTTTTTGGAGTGTCAAATTTGGAATGCACTTTGAGTTGACGCAGGGGTCTCTGACTCCCAGCCATTCCATACTGTTCTTGCTATTTTTGGTAGTAGGAACCCGTTTGCCATACATGCAGGCCTTGTGCCAGGGCTTGCAGAATCGGTAGTCCAATGTCCTGGGACAACCAAAATATTTTGTCGGGCAACCAAATGTTCCAGGCTGCCAGCGCGACGGGCAAGCACCTTTTTCTTTTTTTTTTGCCTGGCGTTTTGACATTTCAGCACCGTGCACTGAAAAAGATTGCAAAAAAAGATCAAAGTGGCCAAACAAATACCTCTGGTTTTGGTTTCCCCACCGACCCTAATTTTTCGGCGTGACCCTAAACAAGTTAGAAAAACAAATTTAAAAAATTGAAAAAAAAATTAATGCCAATGTCTTTTCTGTCCTCACTAAACACTTTCAACAACCCTTTCTCATGTTAAAATGCTTGTTTTCATATGTTTTCCTACTTACATTTGCAATTTTTGAAAAGAAACTTCTGTCATTTTCACGAGTTCCACTCGCGTTTTGCTGTCGCAGTGGTGAAAACGTGCGCAAAGCTCAACGCATGAAAGCAAAGCTGCGCTGGTTCCCACCACGCTGTGCCCATGCAAAAGAACGCGTGGTGGAAATGTGCTAACCAGCCTTTACGTCCAGGTCTATAAAATTACATCGGTGTCGTACACGCATGCAACCATGCAGCTGCAGGTCTAAAAAACATCGATGTTGCAAGAGGATTTCTGCAAGTTAATTCACAGAACTTGGTCTCTTATTTATGTATTTATTGTCTGTGCTCACGAGTCTGAGCACACGGTTTATTGCACGCCCGTCTGGATGTATCATGGACGCTTACCACGCGATACATGGACATTGCTGGCCAGTTTGCCCTTGTGATTACCTGACTACCATTGTGTGATTTGTCCATAATTCTTGTGAATTGTTGACTGCGGAAATTTTTACATATATTAAGACGTGTTTTTATCACTGTTTGAGACAATTTTTGGAAGCTTTCATCCCCATTCAGGCTATTACATTAGCACAAAAAATTGACCTAACAAAATTCTGACCTACCGATACTATTTTTGAGAGGCATGTAATCGGAAGCAGAAGTGGCATAAACAGTGAACGAGAATAGTGTACTCGTGTGGTATCATGCCCTACCATGTGCTAGGCTTTGCCAGTACAACCCACCAGTCTACTCTGTTCGTGGCGTTCACGATCACTTATCGCCCTATCGCGCCAGCATCACGTTTCAAAAACACAAGTGAAAACACATCCACAACGACTCAGTTTTTGTGATCTTCTACATGTATTTATTATCACGAAAAGCATAATATTTGATCTAAGTTTTAACAGGCAGGCCTATTCTGAATTTTTCACTAGCCCACCTGGCAACCAAGGAACCAAGTTAAGGTAGTCCGGAGCATTTTTTGCTAGAATTTGTATGCTAGGCTAGTACTATTTTGAGGCCTGACATGCTTCATCTAGTCTCGTGTGCTTCCACCACACTGCACTCACAACGTAACTTGTCTCATGCTTGGGCCATGGGAGAGCAGAAATTATCAATTATGACTCCGCGTACATATTATGTATGCATATTTTTTGCAGGAAAAATCCATACAATTTTACATAGCAAGTACATGTGATATCCTAAAAATATACACTTGCTGGCGGACAAAGGCCGGGATCCGTCCATGATAGCAGTGCATGCAACTCCGTACGGGGATGTGTCCTAACTGTAATGCTACATAAACACCAATGCAGCAATCAAGGACCGTGCCAATAAACGGACGTTGCCATTTGACTTTTCACTGACACTTTTTGCCAACTGTGGCACAGAAGTCAATGCCAATGCGGGATTTTTTAAATGCCCAGTTACATGTACACAAAGGATTTCGCTGTGCTTTTTGTGGAAATGGAACGTTCATTTCTCTGCATTATGAAGTATAGCACAAAAATTTGTCTGTATGTTACAAGCATAACACTTGAGCAAGCTTCATTTGGATAAGGCTAATTTGAATGAAATGGCCATGTAAGGAGGTCAGAACAACATAAAAGGTGTAGATGGCCTAGGGTGTGGCCATGCTAGCCTGCATCCTTCACTGCACTACAGTCGGTTACTCCTTGACCACTTCTTTGATATGTGATCTTATTCATTTGGAAGGCCATAAGGTTTTCCAGAGCCTTTTAGGTCATTGATTTTTCTCTGGTTTTTTCCCCTAGGCTGGAAATTTGCAACCTGTACAATGTTTACATACGAAACTACAGTTGTCAATTTATTCACATAATATTGTACAATAGCTGGAAGAGTAACTCTACAGATCAAGACCTATAATTTCTGTTCTGATATAATCAATGCAAAGGTTAATTTAGCTTAACTGATTTCAGAATCAATAAGTTCAATATGTTCTAAAGAGCCTCGTCAGTGCTTTGTTTACAATGAAGTAGGAATTTAAAATTGTTAAAGGAAGATGGTGCACATAGAACAGACCAAGAGCAACACGCCGACTTTAGTAGGCAAAATGATGACTTACATGCACATGTATAAAAGCAGGCTTTAATAGGAATAAAAATTCTAATGGAAATGCATTAGAGACAATCAGGACTTTCGTAAGACTGCCAACTTGAGTGATTTGCTACATTGTACGATGTTAGCTTAGCCAGAGTTTTATACTGTACCAGAGAGAAGTTGATAGAGATTCCTTGTAAACACCAAAACATACATGTAGCACCAACCAATGCGGCTCAAAGATGCTAAAAGGTGCATCATGCGATCTACAAAACACTACACTTTCTATTCACTATGCTCAAGATGGAAATATAGTAAGGGGCATGAATGGGGTTCATGCATGCCATAGCACTTGCAAGGCACCAGCGCAGCGAGGATGACCCAATCATGTGGTGGAGTGGTGCAATTTAGCATGTTTCAGCGTAAGTTGTTAATTAAAAGCAAACATTTGAAAAGGGTTTGATAGGTATTTATTTTTTGGTACTTTGCAGAAAGTTTTCTTTACTTTTTAAGCCATTCTTAGAGGGAAATTTTGTAAGTTCCGTTTCAAGCAGTGAATTCCGTTTCAAAGTGTTGATTCTGCGAATTTCGTCCGTTTGCTGCAATCACAGAAAATGATGCGCTCTACGAATATAAAGCAAGACACCTTCACATTTTTTAACATGACTGTTTTATGGGTACTAGGCCTGAAAAAAGAGAACAGATATTGACATCAGTAGTCAAGTATCCAGGCACCTTTCACTGGCTTATAATGAAAAGATTTTGATGTGTAGTTAAACGTTCATTTAAATTTTTCTGCCAGAGGTAAAAGTTTAAACAGAAAAAATTGATTCTGGTCATTTTGGGTTACCTATGTTGATTATATTACATGTACACACATGATGAAACACACTTGTTTTACACTGTTCTACTAGTTAAAATGGAATTTTGGAAATTGTTGTTTGTGACAGAGGGAGTCGTAAGCTTTAGTTTGTATAAGATAAAAGATCATTGTTCTAAAATCCAATTTTGTTTTAGGGGCATCTGGCGTACTCTTTTGTTAAAAGCACTGTAAAGGATGGTGGTAGTTTCGTTTATTTTTTACATTAATTAACAGAAATATAAACATTATTAACTCTTTTCCAGATGTCAACAGCGAAATGGCCGTAAAATGATTACAACAGTTGAGGGAATTCCACACATTTATTCACAAACCCGCCTTGTCAAGAAAATGAAAAAGGTTTGTACCGGTATACATATCTTTGTATTTCTGGTAATGAATTTAGTGTAGAAATGTGTTGTGACATGCGACAGTTGCTATAAACTAATCCAACGACCATGATAACACCATCAGTGGTAATTTGTAGTGGGACCAACTAAAGGTGGTAAAGCATGGTAGTTACAGTCCCATGACAGTTGCTCAGCCTCTGAAGGGGGCCATTGGGAAAGTCTAGTGAAACATCACTCATTTATACAGGAATAATGGCATAATAATTCTCTGATGCATCGATAAAAGTTTCACACATGGTCCAGTTTAGCGTGTTCACCAGCAAAATGGATTGCAAAGGGTAAGATGTCATACAGGGAATAATTTTCCAGGTATTGTATCTCAATTAGCAATGCATTTTCAGCCATTTACTATACACTTTTTTTATGAATTGCAGTTGCTCCGATGCAACTAGAAACAAACATGTTTATGGGAGTTTACGAGAGAGTGGCACTTTCTGCGATCGCTGACCCTCTAATCTGAATTACTAAGCTAGCTCTGAAGTGCTGATAACACAACTAAAACACAGTGTAAGCCTATAATATACAGTCCACTCTCGTTTGTACTACAAAATCAGCCATTACAGAATTAAATGCTTACCGCCCGATCACTTATTCATAATGAGAGTGGCAGAACTGGAGTAACCTTGGTCAAGGCATTTGTCATTTGTTGCAGCGCAGCGCTCACCAGCCACTCGCTGACCTAGAAGGTACCAGTACCTGCGTACGTACATACCTGCACATATTGCAAAATCAAGACAAAGAGCAACCTCACACAGCCAAAGGAATATGCACATCAGCTGAACCAGGACGAAGGTCTTGGTGTAACTGTCCATGGAAGCTGTATTGGGCAGTGCTTATTACACTAACGACAAGGGGCCGATGTTTTAAATATGCTTTTGAATTGGTTCATTACTACATAGTAACTGCATAATTCATGTCGGTCGTAAGGTGAAAGGTTAACAAAATCCGACTTGCAGGAATTGGCCCTATTGCTACGGTGTACCCATTGTAGCCAGTGCATCGGCAGGCCAACTGATGGCTCTTTGCGGTGGCTGCGGCAATGCATTGGAGATCATTGTGTATGCCGCACGCACCACACGTACGGAAGTTAAGTCTGGCCAAATGGTCTGGCCCAACTGCTTGCGCTTGCCCATGCGATGGCTGCCCAATTAGAGCCACAAACCACAACATGCCCATGCGCAGTGGACGAACCATGTGACTGGAACGCAGAGCTTTTGTGTAGCCAAATCTCACTCCCAAAAAATAAACAAAAGTTTGGGAAAAAAAGAACGAAGAACAAAAAATAAAAACAGACACCAATAGCATTTTCGTTTTTACGAAATTTTATTGAAGCGAAAAAGGTGCGCCCTCATTTGATGAAAAAAGTAATTTGACTCATTGGGAAACCCCGCCCGAGTACGCATGTGCAAAGCGCTGCGGTGCGGTATCAGAAATTGGACCACCACAAAGCGACACACATGCACAACGCAAAAGAAAGATTTGCCACACAAAGGTACACAGTTTAAATGATTTACAGTACATGTAATGTGTTATTTATCAGCCGATTGACAACAAAATTCCTCCGCAAAAATGTCTTTCTATGAACAAAAACTTGTGGCACCAAAGTATAAAATAACCACAATATCATTTCGTCGTAGGGAGATTTACGGTATGGTAACTGTGCGTCAGTGTATAGGTACATGTAATAATGACACAAAATTGGTACATAATGACTAAACTTCAAAATAAATCGGGACCTTTTAAATCGAATTTTTGATAACTTGAATTTTTGTCCATTGCCCAGAGATTGGAGGTATCGAGATTTTACTGTACATGTATACTTAGCTGCGATTGGTTACTGTGCACTCATTGCATGCCTGCATCTATTCATATTCACATACAAGGTCGTGCACTAGAAATCTAGCGCAAACATAAAGAAAAACATAGGCTTCCGTGGACGGTTGCACCAAGGCGTTCGTCCTGGTTCAGCTAATTTGCATATTTCTTAGGCTGCATGAAGTCGCTCTTCGCCTTGATTTTGCAATGTACGTGTATGTAGGTATGTGTATGCACTTACACAGGTATGTACTAGGTCAGCGAGCGGCTGGTGTGCACTGTGCTGTGACAAATGACGAACGCCTTGACCAGGACTAAACTGGAGGGACCTTCAACATGTTCAATGAGAATGTGCGCTTGCATGATGTACTCCTGGCCAGACATAGCTATCCAATCACAATGTCACCTTATGACATCATGCCCCTTTCTCGCACGCGTGCGGCCGGGGTGCTTACTACAAACTCAGATTAGACCAGCTTATTAATTAGTTGTGCCATTTTCCAACTGGTATCAAACATTAAAAGACAAATTATTAAATTAAAGGAAAATCATGTTTTTCCATAGCACAATTTGTGCAGGAAAGAATACATTAATGAATGGTCCTTAAGCTGCTAATCAATCTCAACTTTCACACTAGCCATTGCACATAGCGTGCTAGCGGCAAGGAGTACTAGGGTAACCTTCTAATGGGACTGTGAAAGTTGTTTTGATTCATTGCCTGCAGTACAGTGACAATGCACATGCTGTCAACTAATTAGGTTTGGGAGTTTAAGATTTCATTTCGCAGAACCACTTTGCAGACATGATGGCCAAACGATGACATGAAAGTTAAAAAAAACACTGAGGATGACATCGAGGATGCAATATCATCACAAAAAGTTTTGGCTGGTAACCTGATTTGTCAAGCAAGGCTTTCTCACGCTCAAACAATTTTTTTTCCTGATATCTTGATTTCTGGTCACAGTCTGACTTGCTTTATCATTCCCAATATCAAGATTTTTGCCTAAGAAATTTATTTCAGCGATATCAGGTTTTTAAGTGATATTGAATAATCAAGTAATATTGATTTATTGATGGACCCAAAAAATCAATACAACACAAAAATGTAATGCCATTTTGCCGCCTGAACTGTAATTGGAGTTTGCAATAAATTTGATGCAAATGAGCCATTCAAAACAGGGAGAGAGCAAAAGTGTATTTTTGTTTATGTGGGTTTTGTGAAATCCATAGCATCTTATCTGTGGAAAATTGTGTACTCCAAAGTTGTCAAGGAACTTGAGCAAACAGATTTCATATGCAAGTCCACTATTTTCTGTTTGAAGAGAGTGTCTGTTTTTATCCAAATTGCGTCAATTCACTGTGAGAATGAATACACATAAAAACGTGTCTTTGTTGAGAGAGTGAATATACCATTTAGAATTCTTGCTTTTGTTTATGTATTTCTTTGTTTGTTTTAATTCTTACATGTAGTTCTTCAACTGTAATGGAAACGTGAACAACGAAAAGGATTTTGGAGAAGTGATCCAGTTGCAAGGAGATCAGAGGAAGAATGTCAAGGACTTCCTTGTCAAAATTGGACTTGCCAAAGATTCTCAGGTTAAACTCCATGGCTTTTAAATCATCACCCTCCTGTTTATTTAAAATTTATTGTTTTCTTTTTCAACATTGTGAATTGTTTAAAAAACAAAACAGCTGTTCATCTCATTCTGACTTTGCATGGTAAGAATGATCAAGGAGAGTGTTACCTACATGCACATGTAGTGTGTGCTTCTGGTGTCATGGCTCATCAACAATTTGTGGTGTCAAGGTTGAGGTTTGTTAATAGAGGGATCCCAATACGACGCTTTGAGCGTCGATCTGCGCACTTCTGCGTTTGAAAACAAGGCTGTATGTGTCAGCTTCAATTCTTAATACGATCAGACGATTGAAAGTAAGGAGTCAAGACACAAAATACATACAGGTTTGTTAAATTCAGACTTTTCAGACTGCAGATTTTTGTGGAAGAGTCTTTCAGGATGACTCGAGATGTAAAATCAAAAGAAAAAATGATGGCAATTTACTGTGAACTGGCGTACCTGCGATGGTCATGTATCTTGTGCAGTGGGCGTGGTTTAAACCAGATACTGCATGTACTGTGTGGACTCCGTTGGCGCGCCCAATAAAGTTCAACACAGAGAGCCTCGGTTTCGATGCAGATATGTGCAGACAGCACTATTGTGAAATCCCTCTATGTTTCATAGTAAAATTAGTGCTTGTGAAAGGTCTAGGTTCATCTAGTCAATAGGAAGATACATACCATTCTGAATTCCTCCATTTTTGTTGTGTTTCCTTTTTAAAATGAGCTCATTGATTTGATGCTGAATAATTGCCGCTACACATGAATGAAAAAATAAATGAGCTGTAGATATGGCAACTATGGCTAAGTTTTCCAAACTGCACAATTACATGATAGTACGTAAAAGAATTGCTAATATACATGTACGTAAGGTTTCAGATTCCCAAAGCCAGTGAGATGCTGTGGTGCCTCGTCGGTACATGCTGCTTACGATGCACATAACACTAGGTTGGAGGACCACATCAATCTTTTTCTTTCTGTTTTGTTTGTTTTTTGTCCATCTTTTCTTTAATTTTTTGACAGTCAAAAACACCTAGTGTCCACTAGGTGTTTTTCTTTTTTTGGGGGGGGGGGGAATTCATATCCCTGAGGGATTTGTTTTTAAGGGAAAGAAAGTCCAAGATGGTTTGTTACAGACTAGTCTGGTTCCTGTGCCCAAATGCTGTGGATTGATTTAAGGGAAGAACAGCAGCCAGTCTAACGTGTCATTACTATGGCTACTGCATGATGAAAAAGCTAAGCCAAACAAAAATGGTTGTGTTTCTGGTTACCTGACCAAACCTAGACAACCATGCAGGATGACAATGACCACAAATAACACAGTGTCAACTCCACAGTGCAATTCTGTTTACATCATCCTAGCTGGTCAGCTTAAAAAAAACGTGGCCTGCTCCTGTGATTGGACCTGCAATCAACTGGCCAACAGACATTGTTTAACCACTCAGCAAGTGATCAGACAGAATGGTTTGTAGAGTAAACACATACAGCATTAAAGTCCAAGTTCTCTCTTAATTTTTCCAAATGAGTGCACAAAAGAATTGACCAGCATATTACCCGATTTGTATTGGATGAAATAATTCAGAGAACAAAAAGCCAACCCACCTTATTCTTTATTTGGTAATGTAATAGGAAACACAGCTATTTGGAGTTAGATAATTAGAGAAGAATCAAATATAATAAGCTCCATTATGCAGGAAACCATGAAAGAACTTGAAATAATGGTATGAGGATCAAACAATTCAGTCAGAAATTGAAATGTTCATGTTTATGCTATTCTTTTCTATCCTCCAGCATTTTGTTGTTTCTTGGTAAAGTTGGTGTATATTCTGTCTCTTGATTATTTTTGAGTAGAAATAGTTTGGTGTTCTTTTCCCCTGCGAGTAGAAAAAGGCCAAAGGAAAGGCGAGAGGCAATCCTTAATTGTGATAAAATTTATGAGTGTGACAGTACAATGGAGAACATACATGTACATGTATGCTGCGTGTAGCAGTTGTGATACAAGAATGCTGCAGTATTGCATCATGATAAAAACAATTGGTGTTGTAATATTTGGCTGTGAATAAATTTCAACCGAAATGAAAGAAGTCAGACCGTTCCAAGTAACCAAAGTCTGAATGTGTGGACATCACATTTGTAAATACATGGAGTGGGAAAAGCTACTTTATCAAATGCCTCTAGAATGGCCCTTGAGAGCAAGGGAGCAGATGTAAGAGTGGCATAGTTGGGTTGAACTGAAGAATGAAACCTGTGCACATGCACTGCATTTGTACAATTCATGAATGAATACAAAGATGTCAGTTACCACAACTGCACACATTTTGTGACCTCAGTATTGAGATGTTTATTCTGTTGTAAAAAAATGGTATCGTTAGTCTTGTACGAGTAGAGATGAGAATGTTATCTAACATACTGAAAGACGGTCTCTCAAAAGAGTCATATCCTATATGTACTGCAGTTTCATGGTGAAAACTAGCACATTTTGGGCCTTAAAGGTGTTGCATCTGCAGATCTGAGGGTTCATTAAAAATCCAGAATTTGGACCTTTTGCTTTTTTAATTGTAGTAAAAAGTCTCATTAGGCAAGTGTATATGATATCACAGAGCAGGCCTGTTACAGAGTAAATTATCTTGGGTGCTTACAATTACATTTAAGATTTGGAGGAAAATGCAAACATTTACTCTGAATACTTAAATTTACATTGCATTCATCGTAGGCATGATATGAGGTGGTTAAACCTCAACAGTCAACTCGTTCATAATAGTGATGCAGTGTGATGCATTATTGCATTTGTTTGAAATTTGTTTCGTTTTGTTTTGCTTTCATACTATCAAATAGTCGCAGCTTGTTACACGAAATTTTGCAGTTAAAGGCCAAGTTACTCTTCCTTGCTTCATAGATATACAAAAAATGGCCAAGGGTTAGTCATGAGATGTGGAACTGGTCGCATCATTACTGCCCTGCATATCCAAAACAGACTTTGAAGTATGCACACATGCTGAAAACCTGCCCCTGCTTTGACCCATTTGGGTAGATATCCTGTCAGTCCTAACCATTTGGAGACCGTGGGATGCAAGGGGTTGTTGCACTGCATCCTTGAAAATAACATGCAAGAGTCTTTTCCTTTCAATTAAGCAGTTTAATTTGTCAGTTACTGTGTCGAAATAATACCTTAGTCACAAAGCAAAAATAGATTTGTCACCCATGACTTTGTACTTGTGTGTATACCGTAATTACTGACTTCAGTTTTTCTGTGTGTTTGTTTTGTTTTTACAATGTACATGGAGGTCCTTCAGTATCTTTTCTCACCATCAGCGTTAAATTGTTATACCGCCAACCATAACTCCTTTTGACCGATTTCATCCAACTCGGCAATAATGTGGTGCACTAAGATCAGGTCAGAGGTCACCTAGCAGTCACTAGTGGTCATTTTCTTGAAAATTACAAATGCTTCTCTCAGTCTTCATCCAGTGAAGACAAGACTAGGTCGGCTCATTATAGGATGTACACAGAATTTGCCAAATGTTACCTATTGGTCAGCAGGTCGTCAATTACTAGAAGATGGGCACTTCTCGACGATTTCAGCCAAACTTTTTCAAGGGCATTGTGTCAGTTTCACGTGTAGTTATGAAGATTTCAAAGGACACCTAGTGGTTAGAATGTGGTCATTTTATGTAAAGTGGACTAAATGGTTTCGTTACCTCAATTTTTACCACAATTTAGACCAAACTGTCAGTTATGGGTCTCTTGAAAACTTCAAGTATGCTATTTGCAGATTTGGGACAAAGGTCACCTGTAGCGGTCGGCATGTGGTCATATTCTGGAAAACAGACAAAATTGCTTTGTTTCTTTACTTTTTAAATGATTTCTGGTAAACTTTTTCAGTGATTAGCCTTTTGCACGCTTGGTGACCTAGTGGTCAGTGTGTGACGCGTTTGTCGGCCAGGCTGGCCTAGAACGCTGCGGTATTTCATGCCAATGTACATGTACTTCACAACAGGAGGATTACAGCCTGTGGTGACTCATAGCAGTCAGTCCGGTCCCCACGTGAGGCCGCCCGGCTAGCTGTGTGGATCAGAAGAATATGGGCCTAATGGGGTCAACCGGCGCTAAGTGGTTAAGAGGGCGGGCACCAAAGATTAAGATGAGGCTGCTCCTCTTCTGAATCCCTATGAAGGAGTCAAAGGGGCCTTATTTGATCAATCAGTGCTAGATTGGTGGCAACAGCAGCGAACTAATACGCTTGATCAGACCAAGAAAGATGAGTTGCTGGGGCCTCACTCCAGCAACGAAGTATAATCGTTGATTGGCAAGGTACTTACCTCTGCATGCGCAGTGAGTACCCCCATTTTTTTGGGGGGGGGGAGATTTGACCACTGATATCTATACACTGGATAGGCAGCTCATCAGTAACTGCCGATGGTTGCACTACACCAAATACGTGCCCATAGAAAACAGTGCAAAATTTGGACCGAAATAGCGCCGCCTCTTGACTCTAGTGAAGAGGATGGCCTCCATTTTTTCACTGGAAATTCAAGATTATGACCAGAAGATCAATTTTCATTTCAGTTTTATGGGGTTAGCCACTGAAAAATAATTTATTTACCTTTCCCCAAAGACAACCCCAAAATAGCAGTAAAAACTAGGCGCATATTTCTGAACGTACCCCCCAGCCTCTATCCAAAATATATATTTATAGAAATATTTCTATGATCCCTCTTGATTATAGCCTGTCTTGTAAAAATCCCGTGGGATCACCAAATATTAATGAACTTGCGCGCAGATATACAACCATTAGCTGGACTGCACCCCTATGTGTGAATTGAAGTGACCACGCGGCCATCTTAGGATATCCAATACAATGGCCTCCAACTTCAGTCCATTCACTAAAGTGAATTCATGCATGGCGCTAAAGCCGGAGACTTGGGAAAATGCCATTGTATTGAACAGCCTAAGAAGCAACAGTGGTTTTAGTGTTGAGAATTCAAGTTATGTTCACGTGAATTCGAAGAACTTCAGATTTTATTTAAATTTAACTCGTAAATGGCTTATTGCATTGCCGGACTCGCTTTTACATCGTTCATATCTGCATTATAATGAACGAGTTGGCAATTCCGGCTACTTTGGTGGAAATTCTGTATACATTATGCATATGTAACTATGAATAACTACATATCACCTGACCAGCACCATGTATCGCAAGCCTACCCACACCGACCAGTACCTGGCCTTTGACTCACACCAACCAGTGTCCGTCAAGAGGGGCGTGGCCAAGTGCCTACATG